CCTATAGCAAAAACCTCTCCAAAAAAAAAAAAAGTTCTTCACGAGTAGAAGTCTATTAAACATCTCCATTTAAAAGACTAACAATAGGGACCAGCAGATGGTGTAATGATTACGTCACTGGACTCCCACATGGTCGACTGCAGTTCGAATCCCAGACCAAACAACTTGGAACTCCAGCTTGGCACATGTGCATGCATGCCCAAACTCCCAAAAGGGGAATGGAGGAGCAGGGACCGTGGTGTGGCCATCCCTCCTCGGGGAGATGTTATTTCTCGTTTTCTGTCTCTCTGTCTCCAACTCTCCAGTGAAAGCACGAGCCCTATAGCAAAAATCTCTCTTTGAGAACCAGCAGTTAGTGTAATGGCTATGTCGCTGGACTCCCACATAGTCGACCGCGGTTAACGTCCCGGATCCGGTGGCTTAAAATTCACACCGGGCATGTGTTGTGTGTGTGTGTGTGTGTGTGTGAGTGCCCCGGATCCCAGCGGGAGGGAGAGTCAGAGGGGTGGGAGTGCCATGCCCATGCCCTATTAAGAGGTGCCTTCTCCCTCTTCCTTTCTCTCTGGTGAGTGCAAATGCTCTCTGGCAAATTAAAAGAAAAGAGAGACTACCGATACAGATGTTGGTGAGGTTGCAAACATGGCTAGTGGAACTGTGAGGTGGAACAAATACTCTGGAAAACCACTTGGCAGATTCACCTAAAGGTGAAAATGCATGCAAAGCAATTCTACTCCTAGCTATATAGTCAACAGAAAAACACACATAAGTTAATCTAAAGTCACAATCAAAATGAAAACAGAAGTTTTGTCATAGAAAAAACTAGAAATTATAGAGAAACGAATTGTGTTCTATGCATGTACTGTGTCACTGGGGAAGTCGTGGTGCATCTGCACATAGAAAATAGAAAAATATTCTGTGACTTTCCTACAGCCCGAGCACAGAGAAGCAGACGGCAATGAGGGGTGCTGCACAGCAGTGCGGACAGACCTCACAGATACACTGCTGGGGGCCAGCAGGTGGCATGGTGGCTAAGGTGCTGGATACTCCCACGTGGGAGTAAGAAACCACTCCCCAGAGTGAATGGCCATGCCACAGTCCCTCTCCTCCACCCGAGCCCCGGATTTTGGACACGCACACACAGCATGAGTTTTCTTTTTTTTTTTCAAGAATTAAATATTTAGTGTCATTTATTTATTTATTCATTAATTTATTATTCAATTTGTCCAGAGAGAGAAAGAGAAAGCAAGTTGCCAGGTCTGGGATTCGAACTGTGGTCAGCCATGTGGAAGTCCAGTGCCTTAACCACCACACCACCTGCTGGCCCCCCAGCATGATTTTTCAAGCTGCCAGGTCCAGGACTTGAACCCACTCAGCCATTTGGGGATCTAGCACCTTAACCACCACACCACCTGCTGGCCCCTAAACTACCTTTCTAAAAGTGGAAATATAGTAATTAGAGAATTAAAATGCGGTATTTTTTACTATGTCAAACAAAAAGCAACAGGCCCAATTTTGGTCCTTTAGAAGATCAAATAATATTATTATTTAAACAGGCACTTACAGTTTATGGATTCTTTCAAAAAGTCCATTTCATCATCCAGAACATTTGTTCCTTTGTTTTCTCTTATAAAATTCAGTAGGATGTTAGCTTCCGGTGTATCTTAAGTTAAAAATGCATAAGTAAAACAAAAGCTGATTATCTTTTACTTCATTGTGAATTCTCCAAAACTATTTTTAATAGTGAAAAGTGAAGCTATATAAGAATATAATCAAATAGCATATTATGCGACCATTAATAATGTGATGGAGAACGCTATTAGCATGAAGAGATGTATACCATAATGTCAGTGGAAACAGCAGCTTACAAACCGTGTGGTACAGTATTCTAATTTAAATACATATATATTTTTTTCTTACAGACATATGGGAGTCTAACAATGTAACCATTACGCCATCTGCTGGTCCCTCATTGTAAGTTTTTAAAAAGTCCTATTAAACAAATTTTTTATTCAAATTAAATCCAAGCTGCATTTTCAGACTTAAATATGCTATACAAACATTGGAGTATGTACACAGACATCTCCAAAGAGCTGAAGCTTTCAGAGAGTAAATATGCTATACAAACATTGGAGTATGTACGCAGACATCTCCAAAGGGTTGAAGCTTTCAGAGAACTTTTTACCTGGATTAGCTGTAATAATAGTTTTTGAGGTTACTGTTGCAGTCATGCAGTTCCTAAATTTGTCAAAACTTATTCGTATATCTGCAGCAAATATTACTGTTTGGGGGAAAGGCCACATTAAAATGATTGATTACATGAGGATATTTCTAAAATGACAAATACTGAACACAGTTATCAAATCACACCTGTTTCCCGGGGTACCCAGCTCTGTGCAAGTAGAATGGATTCATTGTCCCAACTGCATTTGTTTAAAAAGAAAAGATACAAATTAAATATACCAGAGAAAACTGGTAGCGACACATTATTGACCACAGAAAGGGGGGTGGGAGTTAAAGAAAGCCTCACTGGCCGGTGAGCACTCCCCCGTGACAGAGAACAGCTCCGCAGCTCCGACTGGCCGGCTGTGCAGAGCACGTGTCCTTGTCCCGTCCCGCAGTGCACGCGCTCATCTCTGACAGTGCTCCGCTCGGCACAGCCTTCGTTTTGCAGCTCTTGGTCAGTCCAGGCTAGTTAGAACTGAGTGACACAAGTCTATAGACTAAAGTCCACCTTCAAGACCGTGAAAGTAGGACACCTTCCACCCAGAGGAAAGCTAGACACTTGATGGACTGAGTGCACTTCTCCCAGCTGCTTCCCCGGCACCCAGGCATCAGGGGTCTAACAACGCCTTGTACCCTGCCGTGCTTCAGGGTGCAGCCCCCATCGCTGCCCCACAACCCTGCCTGCCCTGCTCCAGGGTTCTACCCAGAAATCACAGAAATGTGTTATAAAAAAGAACACAGTGACCAGACTGGTCACAGGAGAGTCCATCTAAGCAGTTCTGTGACATCTGAAGGTCACCTTGAGGCACAGTCCACAGCAACGCACAGTCGGGAGCTAGAGGCTGTTCTCCTTCTTAAAGTCATTTACCTCCTAACAGCACTCCTCTCTGGAGAGGAAACTCATCAACTGGTGAAATGAAATGTCCCGTCTCGGTAAGAGCAGGGGCTCACGGTTTGGGACGGATGCGGAAGATTACCATATCATCATGAAAGAAGACTCTGTCCTGTCACAGAGTTGGACTTCACACCTCTGGCCTTTCCTTCGGTCTGAAGTTGTAAAGAACTTTGGCTCTCCAACCTTAGAAATGGAAGGAAATCATTCTTCACCTAGACGGTAGAGGTACTCAAATCATTCGTTGATGAAAATACTCAGATGTTTACCTTTTTTTTTAAGAGAGATTTTTGCTATAGGCCACGTGCACTTGCCAAAGAGACAGAGACAGAAAGCAAGAAATCACCCCCTAGGAGGGATAGCCAGACCACAATCCCTTCTCCATTCTCCTCTTAGGATTTTGGGCACGCATGCACAAGCACCCAGTATGAGTTGTGGGTTTTTTTGTTTTGTTTTTTTTGGGGGGAGAGGTTTTTGCTATAGGGCATGTGCACTCGCCAGAAAGATAGAGACAGAGAGAAAGAAAGTGAGAAATCACCCCCCTAGGGGGAATGGCCAAACCGCAATCCCTTCTCCATTCTCCTCTCGGGATCTCGGCACGCACACACGTGCTCCCAGCATGAGTTTAAGCCACCAGGTCCAGGACTTGAACTGCAGTTGACCACATGGGAGTCTAGCGACATAGCCATTATGCCAACTGCTGGTCCCCCAGCCTCACTGGCCGGTGAGCACTCCCCCCATGACCGAGAACAGCCAGCAGCCACTGGTTCTGGGACTTGAACTACAGTCGACGACTAGATGGTAGTCCAGAACATAACCATTAGGTCATCTACTGGTCCCAAGATGTTTATCTTTTTCAAAAAAGAATTATTTATTTACTTATTTTAATTTGATCAAATTGACACAGAATGAGAGAGAGAAAGCGAGAAAGTGAGAAAGCAAGCCACCAGGTCTGGGACTTGAACCACAGCCGTCCATGTGGGAGTTCAGCACCCTTAACCTCTATGCCACCTGTAGGCACCCCAGACGTTTAGATTTTAAACACCACATTAGAAATATGAAAGTGGCCAGCAAGTGGCATAATGGTTAAGGTGCTGGACTCCTGCATGAGTTTGAGTCCTGGACCTGATGGCTTAAAAATCACGCTGTGCCCATGTGTGCGTGTGCCCAAAATCCTGAGAGGAGAAGGGATTGTGGCATGGCTCTCCCTCCAGGGAATGACTTCTCATTTTTTCTTTCTCTCTGGCACACATGCCGTATAGCAAAACTTAAAAAAAAATCTTAAGGGACCAGCAGGTGGTGTGGTGGCTAAGCGCCTGAACATTCTCACATGGCTGACCATGGTTTGAGTCCTGAGCCTGGCAGCTTGCTTTCTCTCTTCCTCTCTCTCTCTGTCTCGCTCTGATCAAATTAAAAATAAATGAATGAATAAATAAAATCAAATAAATAATTCTTTTAAAAAATAACTTAAAAAAGAGAGGCCAGCAGGTGGCATGATGGTTAAAGGTGCTGGACTCCTACATAACCAACCACGGTTTGAGTCCCGGACTTGGTGGCTCGCTTGCTCGCTCTCTGTCCCCCTCTGGTCAAAGTAAAAAAAGGAAAGAAAGATAGTTAAATAATTGTTTTTTTTTTTTTTTTTAATTTTAAAAAGGGACCAGCAGTTAACATAATGGCTATGTCGCTTGACTCCCAGGTAGCCGACCGCGGTTCGAGTCCCCAACCCGATGGCTTAAACTCACACCGGGCATGTGTGCGTGCGTGTGTGCCCAAGATCCCAAGAGGAGAATGGAGGAGAAGAGATTGCGGCATGACCATCCCCCTCAGGGGTTAATTTCTCTCTTTCTGTCTCTCTGTCTCTCTCTGTCTTTCTGGCAAGCGCACGTACCTTATAGCAAAAACCTCTCCAAAAAGAAAAAAGAAAAAAAAATTAATAAAAAAGAAATATGAAGGGGCCAGCAGGTGGCATGGTGGTTGAGGGCCCTGGACTCTCACATGGCTGATCACAGTTCAAATCCCTGATCTGGCAGCTTGCTTTCTCACTTTCTCTCTCTCCCTTTCTGGTCAAATTAAAATAAGTAAACAAATAAATAATGTTAAATAAAATAATATTTTTTTCCTTTTTTGGAGAGTTTTTCGCTATAGGGTGCATGCGTTCACCAGACAGACAGAGAGAGACATAGAGACAGAAAGCGAGAAATCACCCCCCAGGGGGGATGGCCACGCCACAGTCCCTTCTCCTCCATTCTCCTCTCGGGATCTTGGGCACGCATGCACACGCGCCCAGCGTGAGTTTTAAGCCACCGGGTCCAGGATGCAAACCGCGGTCGACTACGTGGGAGTCCAGCGACATAGCCATTACGCTAACTGCTGGTTCCCTAAATAAAATAATTTTTAAAAAAAGAAATGTGAAAAGGCAACATGCACTAGTGCAGTGGGTTCTCCAAGTGGCAGGCTCTGTGCCAGAGGCCCCATCAATAGGGAATGCAGCCAGGCTACACCCATTACACCCATTGTTCCGAAATGGGGATAGCTGCTCCCAGAGGGAGACACAGAACAAATGTATGCATTTTCTCTTTCACTTGCATCTGATGCTGGGGTTACTTATAAGGAAAACACTCTGGGTGCCTGTGCATGCATGACCAGAATTCCCAGTGTGAAGAAATGGAGGGTAGGCTGGCAGGTGACAGTGGTTGAGGCGCTGGACTCCCACATGGCCAACCACAGTTCAAGGCCCGGACCTGGCAGCTTGCTTTCTCATTTTCCCTTTCTCTCTCTTACTGTCTTTCTCTGGTCAAATTAAATAATAATAACAAAATAAATAATTTCTGAGAGGTTTTTGCTATAGGGCGCATGCACTCACCAGGAAGACAGAGTGGCAGAAAGCAAGAAATCACCCCCCAGAGAGATGGCCTCGCCTGATACCTTCTCCTCCATTCTCCTCTCGGGATCTTGGGCACGCACACGCACGCGCCTGGCATGAGTTTAAGTCACCGGGTCTGGGACTTGAACCGTGGTCAACTACCTGGGAGTCCAGCGACATAGCCATTACACCAACTGCTGGTCCCTAAAATAAATAATTCTTAAAAGAAGAAGAAATGGAGGGACTAGGGTATGACAACGCCAGTGCACTCTCTTCTCTCTCTCTCCCTCTCTTAGGCAAGCACATGTGCCCTCTGGCAATTAAAAACAGTTGTATTAAAAGAAGTTTTTTGGATCATTTTTAGTTTTTTGCCTTAGGGTATGTGCACTCACCAGAGAGAGACAGAAAGGGGGGAAGTGAGAAATCATCCCACGAGGGAATGACTGCACTGCAATCCCTTCTCCTCCATTCTCCTCTCAGGATTTTGGGCACACATGCACACATGCCCAGTGTGATTTTCAAGCCACCAGGTCTGGGACTTGAACTGTGATCAGCCATGTGGGAATCCAAAAGTTAATGCTATTCTCTGCAAGGCTGACCCATATAGGAAGGTTCTAAGTTCACATGCCCAGAGTTTTCTCTCAGTGCACCAGCTAAGGTTGGAGGTGGATCATGACATCGAGACCTCGTTGGGGTCATTCTCTCTGAAAAAATCATTGTTTTTTTACAAGGAAGAGGTTTGTTTGTTTGTTTGTTTAGGTTTTTGTCAAAGGGCACGTGCTCTTGCCAGAGAGAGAGGGAAAGTGAGAAATCAACTCCCAGAGTGGATGGTCATGCCCCAGTCGCTCCTCCTCCATTCTCCTCTCAGGATTTTGGGCAGGCATGCACACACGCCCCGTGTGATTTTCGAGCCATGGTGTCTGAGACTTGAACCGCAGTCAGCCACATGGGAGTCCAGAGCCTTAACCACTGTACCACCTGCTGGCCCCACAGAGAAGAGTTTTAAAGTGAAAAGAGAATGGAGTAGAAAAAAAGGAAGACAGTTAGATAAAAATGTAAAGAAGAAGAAGTGTAAAAGGACTGGAAGCATGAGGGGAACAAAAGCCGGCAAAGAGAGAAAGGCGTGACCGTATGAGAGGAGGTGCCAGGCTCCTGGGGCAGGCGGGCAGTGGAAAAGCTGTTCAGGAGCTTGCTTATGTCCACACTGGGTTCAGGTGGTTGTTACTGCACGACTAACCTGAAAGCATCACACAGCGCGGTAGGGAAACTGAGCATGAGTTAGCACTCCAGTGAGTAATCGGACCCGAAATAGCTAGAAAGTGACCTGTTTTCTTCTTGTCTAAGGTTACTATAGGTGTGTGCCCTGGCCTGAGAGAGACAGAGAGAGCGGGAAACCGCCCCGCTGCAGTCCCTTCTGCTCCACTCACCTCTCGGGACTCTGGGTATGGACACACACCCTGGCAGAATTGTGAAGTCCCTGGGTCCAAGAATAAAAACGTGCAGTCGGCCACGCGGGACCCAGCTGCCGTCCCCTCCATGCCATTCGCTGGCCCAACTATTTCTCACGACTGCCGTGTAGGGTGTTTACTCTGCCATCCCAATCGTCCTGAACCTCTCCCGCAGCAGGCGCTGTGCGGGGGGCCAGGCTGGGGAGCTAGACAAACATGACTTCTGCAGCCAGGATTGCTGTCAGGTGAGTCAACACCCTCTCAGTCAGTTGCATCTAAAACCAAAAATTAATTACTCTTTTTTTAAAAAAGAATTTTTTAAAGAATTATTTTATTTAACTTTATTTATTATTATCATTTTCGAGTTGGATCAGAGAAAGAGAGAGAGAGGGAAATTGAGAAAGCAAGCCGCCAGGTCCAGGACTTGAACCGTAGTTGACCAGGTGGGAGTCCAGCCCCTTTAATCACAGTGCCACCTGCCAGCCCCCCAAAAAGGTAACTACTCTTTATTTATAGCCTTAGCTGCGAGAAGTGCAGACATCTATTACCACTGGTTTTGTTTGCTTGTTTGTTGACTCTCACCCTTTCCTATACTGAGAAATTACTATTTCTCCTTTAATTTTCTTCATGTACTTTATTTTGTGAAACTTTTTTTTTTTTTAGATTTTTGCCATACGGTGTACGCACTTGCCGTAGAGAGACAGAGAAAGAGGGAAAGTGAGAAAGCACCCCTAGGAGGAATGGCCACGCTGCAATCCCCTCTCCAGTCTCCTCTCAGGACTTTGGGATGCATACATGCACACTTGGCATGGTTTTCAAGCTGCCAGGTCAGGGACTTGTGCAGTCAGCCATGTGAGATCCAGTGTCTTAATCACCACGCCACCTGCCGGCCTCGACTTTATTTATTTATTTATTTTCATACCAGTGTGGGTGCATGTAAGAGAGAAAAAAAAAAAACAGAGAGAAAGCATACCTTGGGGCCAGCCTGTTGCATGGTGGTTAACGCAGCTGGATCTCACATGACTGACAGCGAAGTTTGAGTCCCGGACCCAGAGGCTTGAGAAACGTGCTGGGTATGTGTGTGAATGTCCCCAAAACCCCAAAAGAGGGAGAGAGGGAGCAGAAAGGATTGCAACATGACTATTCCCCATAGGGGTGTGGGGTGCTGTCTCACTTTCACTCTCTGTCTTTCTCTGTTGAGTGCATGCACACTTTAGCAAAAAGTAAGAAAAGAAAAAAGAAAGCAAGCACCTAACAGGGCCTGATCGTGTCATAGTCCTTTCTTCCTCTGTTCCTCTAACCCACTGGGATCCTGGGCATGCATGCACCTGCTTGGTGTGTTTTTCAAGCCGCCAAGGCAAAGACTCTAACTGCAGTTGGTCATACATGACCTGGCTCCCTCTGCGCAGTGCTTGACCCGTGCCATTGCATGGCAGTGAGACTTTACTTGTGAGGTCTACCCAGATCTTTGGCCAGTGTGTCACACCCCAGCGCTCAGAGCTTGAAACAGAGGAGACAAATACTGACGCAAAGGCAGGACACACCTCCTGGCGCCCAGGGTAGTGCTGTCTTTTCCGGTCTCGCCAGCACACAACCATGCGACGCACTGGACCACGGAGCCCGGCCTCAGCACAGCACTATGCTCCCTCCTCCCCGTGGGCAGCTGAGCCACTCCCCACCCCTCAGCACAGAACTGATCCCCAGACCAATCCCAGGACGCCCCTTCAGGGAACATAGTGGAGACTGAGTCAAGGAGCTCACCTTTCACCTTTGCACCTTTAACTAGCTCTGCATTTAGTGCTCAAACAGGGTTTTACTCTACTCCTCACTCACAGATAAAAGGCAGTTCCTCTAGAATGAGAAGAGTTTCTGCTTCCTTAATTCAATTTACTACAAAGATGCAGAGGAAAAATCACCCCTACTGGCCACACCAGTACCTTCCAAACACAAGTTCCCCAGTTGTACTTGGACTTGAACTTACCGACCTCACAGCTGCCAGTACATTAATAATCCTCCCAGCCAGACTGTGTCCATTTGCAACAATGTCACCCAGTGAATAATAATCTTGAGACTCTTTAACAGGTAAGTGTATCAAAGAAAGTAAGTTGGTGTCCACTTCATAGCTGGAACAAACTTTTATGGCTGAGTGATTCTCACTGAGCAGAAGTTTACAGCTGCTGAATTGCCAAAACATGATACCAAATGATTATTCAACTTGAAAAATACCTCCAGGTCCACAGTTAATTAATCTATACCACATTAAGAAATGTATACTTTTTACTCTTAGAAACACTGAATAATGTTACAAAATATTTTTTGTCTAAAATGTACTTTCTTAGAAGAATGTCTTGAGGGTTAATCTGTGTCTGAGTTCTAAGCATACTAGTTGTTGAGCCTGGTTCAGGACTTTGAGTTCAGTCTCTTTTCTCTAAAAAGTAGGACTATGCAAGCACTCGAAACTTTAGGGGTTAAACAGGACTATGAAACTTTAGGGGTTAAAGTAGGGGTGTGATATCAGGTGCATGTGCGTGCATGGCCCAAATCCTGAGAGGAGAGTGGAGAAGGGATTGCAGTGTGGCCACCTCCCCTGAGGGGTGCGGGGGTGATTTCTCACTTTCCCTCTCTTTCCTTCTCTCTCTCTGGTGAGCACACACGTCCTATAACAAAAACTAAAAAGAAAAGAAAAGAAAAGGAAAGGAAAGAAAAGAAAGGAATACGAAAGCACTCTAAACTTTAGGGAGTTAGGGAATATAAAACGCAAGGTCTGGTTATCTCTTATGATCCTGACTGCTCTGCCCAAGCACCTGAGGCCAAGGACTTGCTCTGTCTGCAGTGAGCTGTATAAAGCAGATACGAATATTTACAGTGAACTTGAATGGGGAGCTCTTTCCCCTACAGCCAATCAACTCCCGCGTCCTCTGGATGCAGCCTCCTTAACAGCTTCCTCTGACCTGCCATCCCCCTCCTTCCCCCTGCTTCGGCCTCAGTTGTTTACCTCATCACTTCTCCAACTACGACTTGGGCTTCCTAACTGGGCTCTGTTACCAAAGTACATGTGGTCAAAGTGGTGAGCCTAAATCACAGACATGGAGACTGCTTCCCGGCTGAGCATGCTGTGGCTGCCCGCCACCAAAGTGTGAGGTTGGTATGACAGGCAAAGCTGTCTGCCACGTGTCTCGCCTCTCCTCACACAACGCTTGCGTCTGCCCTATATTCAGTCATGTAAGACTAGCAAGTTACGACATTGATACTTCCAGATAAAGTATAGTCAGATACCAGCAGTTTCATATGGCCTAACCGAATACGCGCTCTTGTGGAGAAGGTCAGAAGGTTTCGTGTTTCCTCTGCCAAGAATTCTGCCCACTATCTATCCATCCATGTGTCCCATAAACGTCTACCGAGAATCGATTATGTGCATAGGGGTACAGTGATGAAGGCAGACGAGACCTTGGATCTGAAACTCAGAAGTGCGAGAGAGAGATGTGACAAACAAGTCAGCTCAGACAGTGACTGTGGGTATGTGACAGCAAGGGCAAGGTCCTGGCAACCCAACAGACGGGGAAGGTGGAAGGAGGTGACATTTAAGCTGAGGCATCAGTGGCAAGAAGAAACAAGTGTCAGACACATGAGAAGAGTGCTCTACATAGAGGGACTAGAAAGTGCAGAAGCTCAGAGAATGAGTCCAGTGCGGGCACAAGATGGCCACAGAGGAGACTAGAGTGTCGGTACAGACGAGGTCAGAAAGCCGAGGGGAAAGGGCTGTAGCGGAGGTGGGTGTACATGCATTAGATTGCTCGCCAGCTCTATACAGGCTGGCAAAGGGCACTTCAGTATGAAAACAAGTATTTATGATTTCCATGTTTCATCTTTTCTTCTAATTGCTCGAGGTTTTGTTTTGTTTGTTTGTTTGTTTGTTTGTTTTGGAGAGGTTTTTGCTATAGGGTGCATGCGCTCACCAGAAAGACAGAGACAAAGAGACAGAAAGCGAGAAATCACCCCCCAGGGGGAATGGCCACACCGCAATTCCTTCTCCTCCATTCTCCTCTCGGGATCTTGGGCATACACGCACAACACGCCTAGCCTGAGTTCAAGCCCTGGGTCCAGGACTCGAACTGTGGTCGGCTACATGGGAGTCCAGCGACATGGTCATTACACTAACTGCTGGTCTCCTAATTGCTCAATTTTAATGTGACTGACATCAAATTTTTGTAAATCTAATAATGAGATTCAAAGTACTAAAATAAAAAAAACCAGCATTTTTTCACAAGACTGTTTCAAAGTAAATTCTCTCGTAGTCAAAGATAAACAGTGTGAGAGAAATAAACTCCAAGTTGAAGAAGCACCTAAGTAAGCTCTCTGCTGATGCAGTACAAAACTACTCAGAACGCCCATTCTCACAGAGACTGTTGAGCTCGCGCTGTACAACCCTTTACCTAGGAGTTGCGGGGCTGAATTTTTCTTCTCTCTCTAGTTCTTTCTTCTGGATCAAGGGATTTTCAATTATCACTAAAACCAAGGGCAAAGTATGACGGTATTACAAAACAGTAACAGGGTAAACAGAAATTGTACACAGCAGTGAACCTAGTGATGTGCTTTCTAGTTTCTGAGCTGGTGTCACGGCATCTTTCACAGCCACCTTTTTGTGTCACTGTGAGAATTGGGACCCTGGGTGCATGCACCAAGCCAGACCTGGAGGGAGTCTAATGCTTTGGGGTTAAGTCCCGATGTATGACCACACTGATATAACTGCATTGATCTATTTACACTCAACATTTGATTTGGTCAGGACGTGCCCGTCAGAAAAACAAACACCTCAGCTGACCTCCTACTTCACACTCGCCCTTGGAAACAGTGCTGGGGGTGTTAGAGCAGTGGGGCACCTGGGGCACTACACTGGGCTCTGCCACCTCTCAGCTGTGAGAACTCAACACTAAGCTTTCAGTACCCTCCCGGCCTATATTAGGCCTTCCTGTGATCTGTCATTTAGTCTTCACATAACCATTCCGTGACTATTCTTATCCTACAAATAAAAAAAATTGAAGATTACAGAGGTTAAATAACTTTCCTAAGGTTATATATATATATCAAAATAGAGGGACCAGCAGTTAGCATAATGGCTATGTCACTGGACTCCCACGTAGTCTACCGCGGTTCACGTCCTGGACCCGGTGGCTTAAAACTCACGCCGGGTGCGTGTGCATGGGTGCCCAAGATCCCGAGAGGAGAATGGGGGAGAAGGGATTGCGGCATGGCCATCCCCCCTGGGGGTGATTTCTCGCTTTCTCTCAGTCTCTCTCTGTCTTTCTGCTGAGCACATGCGCCCTATAGCAAAAACTTCTCAAAAAAAAAAAAAAAAGAATAGAGTTAGAATTGTTCAGATTCAAAATTCATCATCTTTTCAGTCCACCACATTAACACCCTATTTACATGTATAATAATCATCAACCTAAGGCTTTTAAAATCCCTTATTTCATCATTCTCATAACCATTGACATATTTTGGGGCCAGTGGATGGCATAGTGGTTACGTCTCTAGACTTCCACGTAGTTGTCCATGGTTTGAGTCCCAGATCTGGCAGCTTAAAACTTATACTGGGCTCGGGGCCAGCAGGCAGCATGGTAGTTGAGGTGCTGGACTCCCACATGGCCAACCATGGTTTGGGTACTTACCTGGTGGCTTGCTTTCTCACTTTCCCTCTCTCTGTGTGTGTCTCTCTCTGGTCAAATTAAAATAACTGAATGAGGTGCCCCACCCTAAAACAAAAAACCCCCTCAAAAAAAAAAAAAAAAAAGAAGTATTCTAATCCTAAAGTATGTCTTTACCTCTCTGTTTAACTGACATTCCAGCACTCATTCAAGGAACGTTTATAACAAAGTCCCTATAAAGTTTACAAAGTTTTCTGCCTTCCTAGTTCATGAATATTCAAGGAATTTACTGTTCAATTGGAGAAACATTAGTAACCCTGAAAGCTCATAATGCCAACAGGAGAGTATTTCACATAGGTACTGATAACTGATGTTGGTAATCGGCTGCTTGATACCACCGCGTGGGAGAGGAGCAGTCTAATCCCCTGCATTTCTCATTGCCTTCTCATTTTCCGCCATGAAGGAGAGCTGGCACACACGCCTTCTTGTCTCTGCTGTGAGGTTAGAGCTGTCATCTACTGGGTGACTAGGTTCTGCTTTATATTTGGCATGCCGTCCTATTTAACACTCAGAAAAACTGATGGGATCTAGTATTTCACAACTGAGACCCAAGTTTAAGAAAATTTCCCAAACCTACGGTATAAGTAAATGTTGAAGGTAGATTTGTTCAGTATGGGAGTTTTTTGGGGTTTTTTTGTTGTTGTTGTTTTTGTTTTTGTTTTTTTGTTTTTGAGAGAGGTTTTTGCTATAGGGGCCGGCAGATGGCATGGTGGTTAAGGGCACTGGACTCCCACATGGCCGATCGTGGTTCGAGTCCTAGACCTAGGACCTAGTCCTAATATAAGTAAATGTTGAAGGTAGATTTGTTCAGTATGGGAGTTTTTTGGGGTTTTTTTGTTGTTGTTGTTTTTGTTTTTGTTTTTTTGTTTTTGAGAGAGGTTTTTGCTATAGGGGCCGGCAGATGGCATGGTGGTTAAGGGCACTGGACTCCCACATGGCCGATCGTGGTTCGAGTCCTAGACCTAGGACCTAGTCCTAAAGCAGTTTGCTTTCTTGCTTTCTCTCTCTCTCTTGCTCTGTTCCTCTCTGGTCAAATTAAAGAAATAAAAAGTTAAATAAAATAATTCTTAAAACAAAGGGAAAGAGGTTTTTGTTGTAGGGCATGTGCACTCACTGAGAGACAGAGAGAGAGAAAGCGAGAAATCACCCCTGGGGAGGTGGCCATGCTGTAATCCCTTCTCCTCCCTTCTCTTCTTGGGATTTTGGGAGCACATGCATATGTGCCCTGCGTGAGTTTTTAAGCGCCAGGTCTGAGACTCAAACCATGGTCGACTACGTGAGAGTCCAGTGATGTAACCATTACGCCATCTGCTGGTCCCAGTATGGGAGTCTGACCTGCTCTATGTCCACCTGGTCAGTTCGCCCCTTCATAGACCACCTAGTGGTCTCCTGCTGCTGGTGAGGT